ACTGCTCTCTAGCCTCTGTTTTAAGCTTGCTTTCTTTTTTGAAGTTCAGTTAGAGATCTTTCATCTTCTGGTTCGCTCCCCAGATCGCCACACCAAATCCAGGGTTTCATTCTGATCTCCCCTGTGGGTAGCAGGGCACTAAGCACGTGGTCCATCCTCTGCTGCTTTTCCAAGCACATTAGTAAGGAGCTGCACGGGAAGTAGAGTAGCTGGGACTGCAGAGTTAGAGAGGGAGAGGCTGGCGTCGTGACACAGTGGGTTAAGATGCACCTGTGAATGCAGGAATCGCCGATGACTGAATCCCCTTTGGGGTCCTAGCCACTGCACTTCCAACACAGCGCCCTATGAATGTCCCTGGCAGGGAGCAGTTGCAGATGGTCCCAGTGCTTGTCTCCATGCCACCCACATGGGAGACCTCGGAGTTGCTGGTTATCTCTCTGGCCCAGCCCAGCTTTCGTGGTCATTCAGGGGCTGACCCAGTCAATGGAACATCCCTTCCCCTCTCTGTGACTCTGCCTCTCAAATGACTACATCTCTTTTTAAGAAAGATTTATTATTTGTATTCATGTGAAAGGCAGATTTACACAGGGGAGACAGAGACGGTCTTCCATCTGCTGGTTCACTCCCCAAATAGTCACAATGGCCCAAACTGAAGCAATCTGAAACCAAGAGTCATGACCTTCTTCTGGGTCTCCCATGTGGATGCAGGGGCCCAAGAACTTGGACCATCTTCCACTGCTTTCCCAAACTATAAGCAGGGAGCTGAATTGGGGCCCAAGAACTTGGGCTGGATCAGAACGGAGCTGCTGGGACAAGAACCAACACCTATATGGGACACTGGCACCATAGGGAGGAGTAGGGTTAGTCAATTGAACCACTAGGCTAGCCTCAAATAAATGCACTTTTTGAAGAGAAAGAAGAAAAAAAAAAAAGTAAAGAAGCACTCAAACATAGGATGTTGGTGTTGTAAACACACCATGCTAGCTCCTCATAATCCCTAAATTTCTATTAATAGAGTTAATTCTATCATTCAACCTGTATTATAGTTATCTGAGTTTATCCTCCTGACCAAGTTGTAGGATTTTTGATAGTAAATATGACGATGGAGTTTTTCTCAAGTTTAAATCTTTTCAGTTCAGCAGCTTAAAATTAGTGATTTGGTGCTGTGCTGACATCTGCTGGTCACATATGGTTCTGCAGCCCTGGTGCCAGCTTGTTCCTTTCTGGATAAAGAGCTGGAACTGTCCTGGCAACCCTTATCTGCCAGCCACTTAAGGATGCTTTGGCTAGCACTGCCCGCAGCCCCACCCTTCAGCTTTCAGAACTTTCCTCATCTCACCAAATCCCAGAAACATGAAACTTACATTTTCCCAATATCAAAGAAAACAATTTTTAAAGATTTATTTTTATTGCAAAGTCAGATATACAGAGAGGAGGAAAGACAGAGAGGAAGATCTTCTGCCCAATGATTCATTCCCCAAGTGGCCACAACGGCTGGAGCTGAGCTAATCTGAAGCCAGGAACCAGGAGCTCTTCCAGGTCTCCCACGTGGGTGCAGGGTCCCAAGGCTTTGGGCCATCCTCGACTGCTTTCCCACAGGCAGGGAAGTGGAGCTGCCAGGATTAGAACCAGCATCCGCATGGGATCCCAGCGTGTTCAAGGCGAGGACTTTGGCAGCTAGGCCACTGCACTGGGCCCAACCAAAGAAAATTTTTAAATGGCATCCCAAGAAGACGGTAGCAAGGGAAGTATGAAGCAAAAATTTGAGATCAGCGCATATATAATGTCTGCTCCCCACCTCAAAGAATCAAGGCTACTCCTTTTGACCTTTGTCTTATTCCTAGGTTGTTCCCGGGTCACAGGCCTTCTTGGGTGACAGTGGTGATGAACCGGAGGTTGAGCAAAGTGGGTAGGCGGGGCTTGAGGGGTGGGGCCTGATCAAAGGGCCTCTTACTCAGAAGCTTCTCCATTCTGTGAGCTTGCTAGGGGACATCCAAGGCAAGACTGGCACTGAGACGACAGCAGGTGAGGTGTCACGACAGGAGGGAAGGTTTTACGGTAGGTGGTGGCCGCTCAGCCTCAGCTTTCCATGACTCAAAACTCTCGCTTGTAGAGTCTGTGGGTCCCTAGTAGAGCTTAGCTTTCCCTGAGGCTGAGCAGCCTCTAAGCAAAGACTGTTGGGTGGGGATGGGGATGGGGGACAGGGCTAAGGGACAGCGTGGATGCCGGTCCGTGACAGAGTGCTGAGATGCAAAGGAAGCTGAGGCAACGTGGAGCTAGACAGGTCAGGGCCGGGGGAAGAGCCTGGCCAAGCCAGAGGGTGACAGGGGAACGCAAATGATAGAAGAAGGGAGACTGGAACAAGGATTCGGGGGAGGTCAGCGGACCAAACCCCAGATGGCAACAGAGGCAATGGAGGGCTGGTAACAGGAAGGCCAAGGAAGAAGGAGAGCTTGCGTGGGGCAGACTCTTCTTACAGCTGCAGAGCACAAGCCGGAAAGTCCCAGGGTGCTCTGGGAGCAGAGCAAGCTTCCAGATTCCCACTGGACTGTCTCAGGGAAGAAAACGCCCCCAGGTGCCCATCTCCCCTGACTCTCAGACTCCTGCTTTGGTTTGGGGGACAGGGTGAGGCTGTTCCTCACTGCGGTCACAGCCACATCCTGCAGAGCAAGGGCAGGGGGAAGTAAGAGGCAAAACAACCAGAACCACAGGCAAAGACCTGTGGGAGAGAACCGCGGCTGTGTGCAGTGGCTCTGCCCCCAGGAGGGTCCCGGGGCAGCCCAGCAGAGGACGGTGTGAGTGCTGCCTGGCCAGCCTGGGGCGCCTTGTGCTCCAGCGCCACTGACAGCACTTGGGGGGAAGGCATTTCTTCCAACTATTTGGTTTGAAGCCCATTGTTATCAGTTACTAGTGACTTTGGCTAAGTTGTCTCATTTCTTCTCTCAGTTTCAGTTTTCTCATTGCGAAATGGGATTTTACAAGGGGTTGGGAAAACAGAAATAATGCATCTAGAGCACGTGGCATGTGGCGGGCTCTCGGTAAATGTCAGTGACTCTCTCTCTTAGGACTCCAGGCACCCTATGTGTGTCTCATTTCCTTACAGGCAATACGGCACTCTAGTCGACATGGGCTTTTGAAATCAGAAACACAGCTGTGCTTGATTTCAGGTAAGTTATTTGATCTCAGTTTCCAGTTTGCTGGGCTGTACAACAAGGATCGTAGGGCCTCTCCCTCATCGATGCAAGGCGCACACAGATATCAGTCAGTCCCCAAAAATGGCAGCAGTGAGGTTCTCTGCCAGGTAGGCCCTCTCCTCTGCATCATGGCAGGCCAGCCCACCGTGTGCCCCTATTTCTCTGGTCACAGCTGCCTCCGCTCCTCATGCTGTTGTGATCAAGACTTCTTCAAGCACTGAAAGAACAAGGTAGGAGCAAGGCGGGGAGGACTGAGGGGCTGCGGGAAAGAGGACACACAAAGACGATAAGACAGAAACTACAGAAGAGACAGAAAGGGGAAAAGCCATTTCTCTGTTTCTAGGGAAGCCAGTGGCCTCTCTTCTACGGACTGACCACATCCCCTCCCCCTCCCGGCAGAGCCATGGAATCCTTCAGCTCCAAGAGTCTGGTCCTGCAAGCAGAGAAGAAGCTACTGAGTAAGATTGCGGGTCGTTCCGTAGCTCATCTCTTCGTCGACGAGACAAGCACCCAGGTGATGGATGAGCTCTACCGTGTGTCCAAAGAGTACACGCACAGCCGGCCGCAGGCGCAGCGGGTCATCAAGGACCTCATCAAGGTGGCCGTCAAGGTGGCCGTGCTGCACCGCAGCGGCTGCTTCAGCCCCAGCGAGCTGGCCCTGGCTACCCGTTTTCGCCAGAAGCTGCGGCAGGGTGCCATGACGGCACTCAGCTTTGGCGAGGTGGACTTCACCTTCGAGGCTGCGGTGCTGGCCGGCCTGCTGACCCAGTGCCGGGACATGCTGCTGGAGCTGGTGGAGCACCACCTCACGCCCAAGTCACACGGTCGCATCCGCCACGTGTTCGATCACTTCTCCGATCCAGGCTTCCTCACTGCCCTCTACGGGCCTGACTTCACGCCGCACCTTGGCAAGATCTGCGATGGGCTCCGGAAGCTGCTGGACGAGGGGAAGCTCTGAGAACCTAGAACCTTCCACCTGGGCAAAATGGCTGACTGGACAAAACGGACGAGGGGCTTTCTAACCCTGCTCCCCTGCACTAATCCTTGAACCCTCAGGCTTTGTTCTTCCCTGAGAGAGCTTCCGGCTCAGAACGCCTCACTTCCAAGCTGCTGGAGAAGAAGCCATGCTAGGAGCGAGGGCTCTCTCCCTCTCTAGCTCAGGACAGCAAACAAAGCTGCCCGAAAAAGTTGAAATGAAACTTGGGTCTGCATTTCTCCCATAAGGGACGTTTGAAACAGGGAAGCCCCCCCTTTCCTATGACTCATGGCAAGGGAGGGGGTACAGTCCATATATTCCCTCTGGGGACACTAAAAACAGAAGGGGGAGGGGGACCCTTGGAGACTTCCCAGTCCTCCAACTAGGAAGATTCTAGAAGTTCTGTTGCAAAGTGCAAGAAAAGTGGGCTAGGGTACGGGAGATTTTCATAGGGAAATAAAAATACTAGCACATGTACAGGGCTCAATGTTTACTATCTCCATCTTCTTAGACCTGCGGCCACCACAGGGAGACATAAACACCACTTATCTCACTTCTCACCATTTTCTTTCTTTTTTTTAAAGATTCATTTTATTTTTATTGGAAAGTCAGATATACAGAGAGGAGAAAAGACAAAGAGGAAGATCTTCCATCTGATGATTCACTCCCCAAGCAGTCACAATGGCCAGAACTACTTCTGGGTCTCCCATGCGGGTGCAAGGTCCCAAGGATTTGGGCCATCCACAACTGCTTCCCCAGGCCACAGGCAGGGAGCTGGATGGGAAGCGGGGCTGCCGGGACATGAACTGGTGCCCACATGGGATCCATAGGCAAGGATTTTAGCTGCTAGGCTACTGCGCCAGACCCCACTTTTCATCATTTTCATACAGGAGACATATTTCCTACCATCACTGAGGTACCCTTGCCTACTTCTAAGAAACAAACAAGCTGTTCTGCTGATCAATGTCACAAATTTCAAACAACTATGCAGTTGAGGGGCATGGGATAGATAAGTGGGTTCCAGTGGGAGGAAGGGGCATAACAGACTCCCCAACCTGTCTTCCTCTTTACACCCCAAGGTATTCCTCCTTTCATCTCTTCACACCAGGACAGGCTGAATAGAGAAACACATCACAAGGGTCAACTGGCGGACTGGAGGGTTCAGGTCCCTCTCCATCCTGCCCGTCTTTACAGTGAACATTGTGGAAAGGTTACAAAGAACCCCTAGGTCAAAGCTGATCCGCTGAGGCTAGCGGAAAGGCCCGGCACAGTCTGCCCCTCCTCAGCAGTAGCACTTAGTTCACTGACTGCCTGCACCCTAGTCAGGCCTCCCCGGGGGTACCAGCAGTCACTGGCTCCTGTTCACAGGTGGCCCTCACCACAGGCCATGTGGCACCTTGTTTTTTTTTGTTTGTTTAATTTTTTCTCAGCTAAGAGTAGGAAGGAATAGAATACAACAAATAAATAGTACTTGAACATAGCACCAAATAAATTATATGACTTCATTGGAGACCAGGGGAGCCCCTCTTTCCCTGCTCTAATGGCAGGGCCCCGTGAAACGGACAGGGAAGGCAGCCAGGGCGCAGAGAGAGCCTTCTGCAGCTGCGGGACAGCACTAGGTTCAGTCCAGGAACCAGGAAGGAGTCCAGTACCCACCCCTACTCTTGCCAAGAGAACTGCCCCAGGCCAAGGAACTCTCGAAGGGCAAGGGGGCTGGAGCTGACAGAGGCAGGCTGGGAAGCCATGTTCTTGAGCCTCACCTCAGGCTCCTCTCCCCTTCAAGCTGCTGCTTCTTTCGACCAGTTATGGAGACATCAGAGTTTGAAGATTTCATCCTCCTGGTCCCGTAGTGTCCGGGTCCGAGAGGTCCGGGTCAGGGGCACAGGACCTAAGACTGCTCGCTGCTGCGTCCGAGGGGAGTTGAGCTGGAGATCTGCCTCCCCAGGGACCCTGTAGGTGAAGAAAGCAGGGGAGACAGTAACAGGTCAAGGGACGAAACCTGAGCATGGGCCAGGCGAGGTGCGAGGGGAGCCTCCATGTGAACTGGTTGCCCTAGGAGAAAATCACGATGCTTTCTGGGCAAATCAACCCCAACACTGCTTCCCACATGGTCAGTCACCCTGAGGACAAAGCCCAGTGTTCCACTGTCCCCACCATCCAGCAGCCACTGGCTCTGGGGCCCCCTGGCTGAGAGCTAGTGTCTGGCTTCTGCTGGTGCTGAACTGACTTATGGTGTCTGGCTGGGGAGGAAGGAGTCTCTGGAAGATCTCCTCAGCGACCATCTTGGACTCACCCACTTTCCCCCCATTTCAGCTTCTGAGCGGCAGCTTTCTTTGACAGGCTGATCTGTGAGTCAAGCTTCTTCAGGAAATCGGAGGCTGAGAGGTCATGGGTGGGTGTGGCAAGTTCCTGGCGAGCCGTTGGGGGGACGTCACCGTTGGCATGTCCTGCACCTGTCTCTCCTTTCTTCCTCTCCGTGGAGTGCGGCCAAGCATCATCCTTGCTTGGGTGTCCATCTTCCTCTCCATCTTTTTCTTCCTCAGAATCCAAACCACTGAACAGGTCTCTGGGCTCTGTCAGGATGGGGATGTAGAGGGTTTTCTTCAGGAAGATGGAGTCATTTGTATAAAGGCGGTTTGCACGCTTAATCTGTTCCATCTTTCAAAGAAAGGCAGCAGAGTTAAGGACAGTAACAGTGGCCAACCTCTCACGGCAGCTCAAGCTTTCTAAAGGAATAGCAGAGTTGTATCTGGCCTGCTAACAACCATGCCCAAGTGCAAGTTGGAATTACTTCTATTTTTCACAGTTTTTTTTTTTTAAGATTTATTTATTTTTATTGAAATGACATACATACAGAGAGGAGGTAGAGAGAGAAAGATCTTTCATCCGTTGGTTCATCCCCCAGGTGGCCCCAACGGCCGGAGCTGAGCCAATCTGAAGCCAGGAGCTTCTTCTATATTATAGTTTTTAGCTGTTTTTGATTTCAGAGGTTCTTTGTTTTCAAAATTATTGGAGGAAAAAGTTTTTATTTATTTAGAAGCCGTTATTATTTAAAATATTATGAAATCTTATTACTTTTAAAGATTTATTTCTATTGCAAAAGCACATTTTACAGAGAGATCTTCCCTCTGCTGATTCACTCCCCAAGCAGCTGCAATGGCTGGAGCTGAGTTGATGTGAAGCTGGAAGCCAGGGGTCTCTTCTGGGTCTCCCACACGGGTGCAGATTCTCAACACTTTGGGCTGTCCTCTGCTGTCTTCCCAGGCCATAACGGGAGCTGGACAGCAGGTGGAACAACCAGGATACAAACCGCTGCCAATATGAAATGCCATGCTTGAAAGTGGAGGATTAGCTGGTTCAGCTATCGCACCGGGCCCAAATATTACAAAAACTTTAAAGTATTTATTTAGGGCCCGGCGCAATAGCGAAATGGTTAAAGTTCTCGCCTTGCAAACACAGGGATCGCACATGGGCGTTGGTTCTAATCCCGGCAGCTCTACTTCCCATGTCCCTGCCTGTGGCCTGAAAAAGCAATCGAGGCCGGCCAAAGGTTTTGGGACCCTGCACCCACATGGGGGACACAGAAGAGGCTCCTGGCTTCAGATTGGCTCAGCTCTTGCCATGGTGGTCACTTGGGGAGTGAATCATTGGACGGGAGATCTTCCTCTCTGTCTCGCCTCCTCTCTGCATATCTGACTTTATAATAACAATAAATAAATCTTTTAAAAAATGCATATGTGGGTGAAGTATTTAAAAAAAAAACAAGTAAATGAACAAATCTTTAACATATAGAGTCTGGCACAGTAGTCTACTGGAAAAAAGTCTTTGCCTTGTACTGCCAGGATCCCATATGGGCACTGATTCATGTCCCGGCAATCATGCTTCCTGTCCAGTTCCCTGACTGTGGCCTGGGAAAGCAGTGAAGGATGGCCCAAAGCCTTGGGACCCTGCACCCACATTGGGAGACCCAGAAGAAACTCCTGGGTTCTGATCGGCTCAGCTCTGGCCATTGTGCCCACTTGGGGAATGAATCAGCAGATGGAAGATTTGTGTCTTTCATCCCTCCTCTTTGTATATCTAACTTTCCAATAATAATAAATAAATCGTAAATCTTTAAAATATATATCCTTTAAAATACATACCAAGGTATGTATTATGCATTAACCTAGCTGCTGAAGTCCTCGCCTTGCATGCACTGGGATCCCATAAGGGCATCGGATTGCATCACAGCTGCTCCACTTCCCATCCAGCTTGCTGTTTGTGCTCTGGGAAAGCAGTCAAGGATGGCCAAAGCTTTGGGACCTTGCACCCACGTTGGAGACCCGGAAGAACTCCAGGCTCCTGGCTTCAGATTGCCTCAGTTGTGACCTTTGCAGCCATTTAGGGAATAAACCAGCAGATACATCTTTCTCTCTCTCTCTCTCCCCTATAACTCTCTCCTTCAATTAAAAATAAATGATTCCTTTGGGCCCGGCGTGGTGGCCTAGCCGCTAAAGTCCTCCCCTTGAACACGCCAGGATCCCATATGGGCTCCGGTTCTAATCCCGGCAGCTCCACTTCCCATCCAGCTCCCTGCTTGTGGCCTGGGAAAGTAGTCAAGGATGGCCCAAAGCCCTGGGACCCTGCACCCGTGTGTCAGACCTGGCAGAAGCTCCTGGGTCCTAGCTTTGGGTCAGTGCAACACTGGTTTTTACTGTCACTTGGGGAGTGAAACATCGGATGGACGATTTTCCTCTCTGTCTCTCCTCCTCTCTGTATATCTGACTTTGCAATAAAAAATAAACAAATCTTTAAATAAATAAATAAATAAATGAGTCTTTTTTTAAAAAACAGAAAAATTGTGGGCTCGGCATGTGAGTCTACTGGTTCGGGTCCTGGTGTCCTGCTTCCCATCCAGCTCTCTGCTTGTGATCTGGGAAAGCAGACAAGGAAAGTCCAAGGCCTTGGGACCCTATACCCACGTGGAAGACCCAGAAGCAGCTCCTGGCTCCTGGCTTCAGATCAGCTCAGCTCCAGCCACTGCAGCTGCTTGGGGATTGAATCATCTGATGGAAAATCTTCCCCTCTGTTTTTCCTCCTCTTTGTATATCCAATTTTCCAATAAAAATAAATAAATCTTAAAGAGAAAACAAAAATTGTTAGTCTTTTAATCTAGCTAAACACATTTTGTGTGTGTGTAAGCTGAAACTGGATTTTTGAGAGAAACTTCATCGACCACAATTATATATATAATTTATTTTATCCTATTTTTTATTGAAAGGTCAGATCTACAGAGAGAAGCAGAGACAGAAAGATCATGTGTCCACTGGTTTACTCCTAAAGTGGTGGCCACGTTCGAAGCTGAGCTGATCTGAAGCCAGGACTGTGGAGCTTTTTCTGGGTCTCCCACGTGGGTGCAGGGTCCCAGGGGTTTGGGCCATGCTCTGCTCCTTTCACAGGCCACAAGCAGGGAGCTAAAAGACAAGTGGAGCAGCTAGGATTCACCCATATGGGATCCCGGAGCATATTAGGCAAGAATTTTAGGATCTGGAGCCAAGGCCTAGTAGCTAAAGTCCTTGCCTCGAACGCGCTGGGATCCCATATGGGCACCAGTTCTAATCCTGGCGGCCCCACTTCCCATCCAGCTCTTTGCTTGTAGCCTGGGAAAGCAGTGAAGGGAGGCCCAAAGCCTTGGGACCCTGCACCCGTGTGGGAGACCCGGAAGAGCTCCTGGCTCCCAGCATCTGATCGGTACAGCACCAACCGTTGCGACCACTTGAGTGAATCATCGGACGGAAGATCTTTCTGTCAGTCTCTCCTTCTCTCTGTATATCTGACTTTGCAATAAACATAAAGAAATCTTAAAAAAACTTTAGCCACTAGGCTACCACACAGGGCCCTACGCAACATGCTTACATCTGTCAAATCCCTTGCATTACCTGCGCTTTGCACACAGTGAGACTGTAAGTTAGAAATAAGTATGAGAATGGCATATTATGAACTTAAAACTGAAACCCAGCTTTCCGTGGGTTAAGTCAAGAACTATTACACCAGCGTCACACAGGGCATGTGTTCGGGTCCTGATTCTCTATTTGCAACCCAGCTCCCTTCTGATGCACGTGGATAGCAATGGGGATGCTTTCCCTGGTGCAACGGGATGTCCCCAGCGCTTGGTCCCTGCAGCCACATGGGAGATCCCAAAGCTCGAGGCTCTCGTGGCTTCTGCCGAGCCACATCACTCTGGAACCATCTGGGAGGGATCCAGAGGATGCAAGATCTGTGTCTCTCCTCTCTCCCTGTAACTCTGCCTTACTAAACAATAAAACAAACCCCGGAAAATAATAAAAGTTCTTCATTGTCGTGAGTTAGAATTTTCCTATGTGGTTAAACAGTACAGACTTCAGAGACAGACCTCTGACAGTTACTCGACCTTGGTCAAATCGATGAAGCAATTTAAGCCCTTATCATCATCATCATCATCATTATTTTAGTTGCAAAAACGGCACAACAGCTGACCACTTGATAGGTGCACAAGGCTCCAATAGGCTACTAATATGCAAAGTCCCCAGCACCGTGTGTGGCTTCACAAACAGGAGCGGTTCTTCTCCACGGGGTGGCAAGGCAGCAGCTGTCCCAGCCACAGGGCACCGCTGGCGGGGAACAGAGAGCCCTAGCAGGCCATTTCAGGGAGACCTGGCTGCCGACACCCCAATCCTTAGAAGACTCACCGTCACCCCGTATTTGAGAGCCAGTCCAGCCAGGGTGTCTCCAGGCTGCAGCAGATGCTCCAGGCGTCTTTCTCTCACGGGGGAGCAGGCCGACTGCACCAGGCTCCCGTAAGAACGCGCCCGGCTCCCCTGCAGCAGTCCCGACCCCCCCAGAGGGGGCTGTCTCGAGGGAGAGGCCATCTCCTCACGCTGCAGATCGCTGTGGGGTTGCGACTTAGTGGTTGATCCCGCGAAGGGACAGGGTGCAAATCCGTGAAATTCTGGGGACTCCTTGCTCCCCTCGGCGCTACGTCCGCCCCCTCAACACACACACACTCACAGCTTCTCCTCCCTCCACGCCCCTTCCCACAGATCTGTCCCCCAAGGAGGCTGTCCTTGGAGTCTCCCTAGCGCCCCTGCCACACTCGACCCCCCCAACTCTTGGCTACACCGACCTCTGACCTTTGAACTCTGGCCACCCTCCTCAACACTCTGCCCTCAGTCCAGCAGCACGGCATTGGGGCGCCCCTACATCCCAGTTCTCTCTGGTCCCTGGGCTCGTGAGCTAAGGGGGCTGGGAAAAGAAAAATCAGGCCCACTCCAGAGCGCGGAGGAAGCGCGTGGAGACAGTGGGAGTGTGGTACACTTTCCACTCAGCGAACGCTCGGTCCGCGTCAGATAAGTCACTCCCTCACATCCGGGGCCCACATCTGAGTTCTTTTTTTCTCCCGACGCTTAGACGCTCCGAGACGCGAGGACCCAGATGCAGCGGAGTTTCGGCCAGCCCTTGACTAGAAGACTTCATTTCCCAAAAGGCTTCGCATCCGCGTGGTCGCGGGGCACTCTAGGAAATGCAGATGCCCTCAGCGCGCCGCGGGAGGCATTTCCGGACGCGCATGGCTTACGTCAAAGGGCGTTGCCGGGAGTACGGAGGCCGCCCGGAAAGAGCGAAGGGAGGAGAGGAGGAAAGGAGGCCGACCCCTTCTCCTACGGTGGCCTGAAGGAGTGGCGAAGTGGTTGCGAGGGGATTGATCTTTTGTGGGATTTTTACAGTCCGTAATGTCTTTCAAGAGGGAAGGGGACGACTGGAGCCAGCTCAATGTGCTCAAAGTAAGCGCCAGCGGTGTGGTTCCGCCTCTGCAGCCTTGAGGAGCTTGGTTTCGTTGCTTTGGCAACAGGGCGCGGGTTGGGGGCGGAGACGGTGGGGAACCAGACCACCGGGGCTGGGAAAGCGACCCCTGGCCTCTTGGCTTCGCGATCCCTGTCCCTGCCGTCCCTGTCTCATCCGACTCCTCCTCCCTGTCGTCTCCCTTTCATCCCCGTCCCCACGTCCCCCCACCCTGCAGAAACGAAGAGTGGGAGACTTGCTGGCCAGTTACATCCCGGAAGATGAGGCGCTGATGTTACGGGATGGACGGTGAGGGCGAGCGTGTCAAGCCCGAGGCTCTATGGTCAGAGGCGGAGAGGGGCATCAGGGATTGCATGAGGAGAAGTGTGGTGGAGGTTGAGAGACCTCGGAGTTGGGCTTTGCAAGGGTTACTGAGGCAGAGTGGGTCCCACAGAAGGAACCCTCCCTCCCTTCCCAAACATCGTCTTCTCTCCCGCAGCTTTGCTTGTGCCATCTGCCCCCACCGACCGGTGCTGGACACTCTGGCCATGTTGACTACCCACCGTGCAGGCAAGAAACATCTGTCCAGTAAGTGTGGACTAAGAGAAGAAACCCTCCAACTCTCTGCAGACACCCCTGGCTGGTACACTTTTCCCCTTCTCCTCAGGCCTGCAGCTTTTCTACGGCAAGAAACAGCCAGAAAAGGGCACGGAGCAAAATCCAAGACAGCAGGGTGACTCGAGGAGGGATGAGACCCAGACTGAGGTAAGCAGAGAAGGCGAGATTCCTTCCATCCAGGCAGGGTCCTGCTGCCTACGCCAGGCTGGGAAGGCACTGACTTTGTCTCCTGCCCCCTGTGCCAGGCTCCTCTGCTAACCCAGACCCGCCTCATCACCCAGAATGCTCTGCACAGAGCTCCCCAATATAACAGCTGCTGCCGGCGGAAATACAGGTGTGTGGGGAAGGATGGCTCTAAACATTTTTAATTGTAACCTGAGGAGTACTAGTGTTCTGTAGATGTTAGTTGCTTTTTCAAGGAAAGAAAAGAAGAGCTTTTGATTTGCAAATAAGATTTGCAAGTGATACTTCTGCAGTTTTAACTTGTGGAATAATATTATTTTTCAAGGGCTCTACAAGTGTTTACATAACAACGTTTAAAAGCTTTGAGCTAAGCTGGTGTCAAGCCTCAGCCTGTGGTGCTGACACTCACACGGGCGTGTTTGTTCGAGTCTTCCCTGCTCTGCTTCCAATCTAGCTTCTTGGCTCCTGGTTTTTCAGGCCGACACAGCTCTGGTCATTGTGGTCATTTTAGTAATGAACCAGCAGATGGAAAATCTCTCCCTGTTCTTCTCTGTCTGTAACTCTGCATTTCAAATAAAAACAAATCTTTTTTATTTTCTAAAGATTTTTAAATTTTTTTTTATTGGAAAGTCAGATATACAGAGAGAAGGAGAGACAGAGAGGAAGATCTTCTGTCTGTTGACTCACTCCCCAAGCAGCTGCAGTGGCCGGAGCTGTGCTGATCCAAAGCCAGGAGCCTGGAGCCTCTTCCAGGTCTCCTACATGAGTGCAGGGTCCCAGGACTTTGGGCCTCCCTTCACTGCTTTCCCAGGCCACAAGCAGGGAGCTGGATGGGAAGTGGGTCGCGGCATTAGAACAGGCACCCATAGGGGATCCCTGGGCCTGCAAGGTGAGGACTTTAGCTGCTAGGCTACCGTACTCAGCCCCCTTTTTATTTATTTATTTATTTATTTATTTATTTATTTATTTATTTATTTATTGAAAGGCAGAGTTACAGAGGCAGAGAGAGATTCTCCAACCACTGGTTCACTCCCCAAATGCCTGCAACAGCTAAAGCTGAGCTGATCCAGGAGTTTCTTCTGGGTCTCCGATGTGAGAGTCCCAAGGCTTTGGGCCGTCCTCCACTGCTTTCCCATTTTATCAGCAGGGAGCTGGATGGGAAGTTGAGCAGCCGGGATACAAACCAGCACCCATATGGGATTCCTGCACCACAGGCCAGAGAATTAGCTCACTGTGCTGACCCCCAAAAGAAATTTTTATTTTATTTTTACAGTCTTTGTGTGTATGTGTGTTTGTGTGTGTTAAAAGAATTTAATCTGCCTGTACATTTCTGTCCACACAAAACTACAGAAATCAATACATACTTTACAAATATTTACCTGTCTGGAGACATTCAAGTTATATTTTTACAGTCTTGTAACTTTATTTAGTTGTCATACACATTGTAGATTAATTTTTTTATATTTTCATTTCGAATTTTTTAATTGTGTGGTACAATTTCATATAGACTGGGATTTACCCCAAAAGCTCCCACCCCCGACAGATTTTTCCCCATTTTACTACAATGATATAGTCCTTCATAAGGAATCACAATTCCATCAGTCTCTTATTTAAGTGTACCCCGACATTACTGGTACAAACAATGTCAGACAGTCCAGCATCCCATTGTCTACACATTTCCAACAGTTTCATTGGGAGTCCATTTTTAATCTGGAAGCAGGAATGAATGTTTCATTATACCCCCACATCTGGATATGGTGGACCCCAGTATTCCATTACTATATACATTTCCATAATTGAGAAGCCATGAAACAAGGTCAACAACTGGTATGAATTAGAACAACTGCAACAACAACGATGACAAAAACAAATTACAGCACAATGAAAAAACGCTCCACTGAGTAACCAACCATGGGTGACAAAAAGGAAGCACAGAAGGCTCTTGGGAAAAATGATGACACCGTGTAACCCATGAGCCAGCAATAAATTTGACAAGAGAAAAGAAAGTCTTTGGAATAAATAAAACTGAGATAAAAACATCAGAACAAATGGGATGTAGCACCCCCCCCCCCAAAAAAAAAACACCAGTATGGATTGGATTATTGAAGTTACTCTTTCCATGCTGGTTTCTTTATGTAAGAGAGAACATATGGTATTTATTCTTTTGTGACTGACTCATTTCACTGAGCATAATGCTCTGTACTTGGGACCACCTAGTTGTAAATAGTATGATTTCATTCTTAACAGTTGAATGATATTCCATGGAGTAGATATACCACACTTTCTTTAACCACTCTTCTTTGGACGCACATCTGGATTGTTTCCATGTCTTTGCTATTGTAGATTGTAGTGCTGCAGATGTAGGATTACAGATCCCCTTCTCATATGCAGATTTCATTTCAATTGGGCATATTCCTAGCAGCGGGATAGCTGGGTCATATGGCAGATTTATTTGCAGTTCTCTAAGCACTCTCCATACAGACTTCCACAGTGGTTGTATTAGCTTACACTCCTACCAGCAGTGAAGGAGGGTACCTTTCTCCCCACATCCATGCCAGCAGGTGTTGTTAGTTGAGTTCTGAATGTCAGGCTGATCTCACTGGAGTGAGGTGGTACCTCAATGTGGTTTTCATTTATATCTCTCTGATGGCTAGGGAGCCTGAGCATGTTTTCTTATGTCTGTTAGCCATTTGAATCTGTTCTTTTGAAAAGTATCTGTTCATTTCCTTTGCCCATTTTGTTACAGGGTTGCTTTGTTTTGCTGTTCCTGGGTTTCTGAAGCTCTTTGTAAATCCTGGATATTAGTCCCCTATCACTTGTGTAGTGTACAAAACTTTTCTCCCATTCTGTTGGTTGCTTCTTCACTTTGTTGATGTTTCCTTTGCTGTACAGAAGCTTTTTAGTTTGATGTAGTCCCATTTGTTCATTTTGGCTTTTGGCATCTTTTTCTAAGAAGTTTTTCCCTGTTCCTATTTCTTGGAGTGTGCTTCCTATGTTTTCCTTTAATACTTTGATGGCTTCTGGGTGTAGATTTAAGTCCTTGATCCATTTAAAGCTGATTTTCATATAATGTGGACGTCTGCAGATTTTTTAATATACATAGGTACATAGGTAACCAAAGTACAGAGCTCATTTAGCGAATCTTCATCCTCATCACATTTTCTGGATTATCTCACACAGAAGCAGTATGGGACATTCCTTATTCTTTGGCCCAGACAGTTTTGTTGAGCCTGGTATCAATGCACACATCTGGAGTCCCCATCTCTTTCATGGCAAACTTCCGGATCTCTCTGAGCGCCTAAGGAGCACGGTTCTTGAAGCTCACCCCATGGATGCCCTTGTGAATGTTGTTGGTATACCCCCACATCACCACCTCACTGATGGCAGAACAGCCCTTCTTGCCACTCTTCTTTGCAGGAGCCATTTTCTAGGGCCCAAGCTGGAAGAGGCCCTAGAAAGCTGTGCTCACTCCCAAAAGAAATAAATCTTAAAAAAAAAAAAAAAAAACTTTATCCCAAACGATCCCAAAATTATTTCTGTGAGGAGCACGTCCATGAGGGATGCAGTTGAGGGGTCACTGCTGTAAGGGGTTAGAAGTGATAGTCATAGAAGATTTGGTCCCTTTATTGCTTTATTGCTTTTTATTCTCTACCCAGACCAGAAGCTCCTGGTTCCTCTGTCTCTCACTCCTCTTTGCCATCAGCTGCAGAGGTTGAACTCCAAAGTGAGAAAATGAGCAGGGAGCCTGAGTGTGGGCCCAGCCCACCGGCCAGAGAGGCAGCAACCATCCCAGCCCCTGCACCCGTGAGCCCCATGAAGAGACGAGCCCTGGATCACTACCTCACTCTCCGAAGGTGAGTGTGCCAGATCACTTCCCTTGGATTTTTCTCTTTTCTCTCCGATTTTTTTTCCACACTTAGTTATTTTTTTTTTTTTGTTACCACTAACTTCTTAAATGTTTTTATAAAGATTTATTCATTGTGGCTGGTGTTGTTGTATACTGGATAAAGCCACCGCCTGCAACAGTGGCATCCCATGTAGGCGCTTATTTGAGTCCCAGCTTCTCCGTTTTTGATCCAGTTCCATGCTGATGACTATGGAAAAGCAGTGGAAAATGATTCAAGTGTTGCAACCATCTGGGGAGTAAGCAGGAGAGTGGAAGATCTCTCTTTTTTGTCACTCTTCAGCTTTTCAAATAAATAAATCTTTAAAAAATTACTCATTTATTTGAAGGGGGAAAGTGACACAAAGATCTTGCATTCGCTGTTTCATTCCCCAGATGGCTGCAATGGCCAGAGCTGGCCCAGATCAAAGCTAGCATCCTGGAGCTTCTTCTGGGTCTTCCACATGGTTAGCACAGGTTCAAGTCCTTGGGTCATCCTCAGCTGCTTTCCCAGGACATTAGTAGGTTGCCGGATTAGAAACAGAGCATCCGGGCTCGGCGGCGTGGCCTAGCAGCTAGAAGTCCTCGCCTTGAATGCACCAGGATCCCATATGGGCGCCAGTTCTAATCCCGGCAGCTCCACTTCCCATCCAGCTCCCTGCTTGTGGCCTGGGAAAGCAGTGGGGGACGGCCCAAAGCTTTGGGACCCTGCACCCGTGTGGGAGACCTGGAAGAGGCTCCTGGATCCTGGCTTCAAATCGGCATAGCATCGGCCATTACAGTCACTTGGGGAGTGAATCATCAGACAGAAGATCTTCCTCTCTGTCTCTCCTCCTCTCTGTATATCTGCCTTTCCAATAAATAAATAAATCTTTTTTTAAAAAAAATAATCAGAGCATCCAAGAATGGAAGTGGCACTCTGATAAGGGGTACCAGCATTACAGGTGGCAGCTTAGCTCACAACACTACCCCCTCACCACTCACTTTTTAATAAACCTTTTTCCCTGAATAATTACTTTTTTCTGATGTTTCTAGTTCCGGGTGGATTCCAGATGGAAGAGGTCGATGGGTAAAAGATGAAAATGTTGAGTTTGACTCGGATGAGGAGGAACCACCTGATCTGCCCCCAGACTGACACCCCCTTTACCCCATTCATTTCACAAATAAACAAGAGTTTACTTCGGGGACCTCACTTTCCTCCAGTGTGGTTCCTTGTTCCATCACAAGATTTCCCATCTGTTCCTTCTCAGCCTCCCTGCTGCTTCCCTGGGATGTATATAGCCCCTCCTCACACTTCTAACCCCTCCCCCAGCGTTTACCAGAGTCATGCCAAGCGTCAGCTGCACGCAGCCCAGTGCCCTATTAATAAGTCCATCAGCAAGAGATCTTTGCCCTTCATGTTGTCTGCTTGCTTCTCCACCCACCTCTGCTTGGAAGTACCGCTCCTCTCATGAGCACTGTGGACAGGCCCCAGGGGGCTTGGCCACATCTGAAAACAGGTCCTAGGCTTAGTGGCCTGTGAAAGGAGAAGAGATTAAAGGTCCTGGCAGGATTCTGGGGAACACCGGGCGGGGAGGAGGGGTGCAGGGAGAGGCACTCCCCCATTGCCTCCTGGTAACCTGAACTGCCCTGCCTGCTGGTCCCCAGGGTATAAATAATCCCCCTCCTGAACTGGCAGGAATTTGGGGGGTTAATGCCAAGATTCCCAGCATGAAGGCCAAGACAAGAGGCAGGCTGAGAGGACAGCGGGCCTTTATTTACAGGAAAGGGGGATAGAGGAGGATTGACATGTCCACGGCACCGGCTCTGGCTGGCAAAAGGAAAGGCTGTGTCATCTCTTCTTTTGCTGGCGACCTGCAAAGGGGCAAGAGGAAATCCATGTCTTTCTCCCATCTCCTGCTTCTGGCAAAGGCACTCATGCCCTTCCCAGTTCCTCAGCCAGACTCATAAAGTGGTAGCGTGTTTGGGCCACCTGACCGGTCCACCTCCCCATTAACAAAACAAAAATAAGGAGGCACACCACAAATAAAAACATCATGATTCCAAACTAGTATAATTATGTCTAGCTTCCTTTCCTCCTCTCTATGGTCTGTGTTTGGGGGCAGGGAGACTTCTATGTTCGGATTCTTTCTGGGATTTAAACTTCTCACATGAAATCACTTCCTGACCCTCTGCCACGCACACACCACACCACATTTGCAGTTGACTCACGCAGCTCGTTGTTTCGGGTCATGGCCTGGGCTGCCCGCGCTCGTGGTCCCTGCTGTGTAAAGTGGTAGCCGAAGCGCACAATAGAGGGACATTGCTCTAGTACAGTGGCCATCTCCATCTCCACTGCATCACCAGGCCACTGGCGCTGTAGGAGGGAGATGGGAAAGCTGTCAGCCACTGTTCTCCATCCTAGACCACAGACTCCTTCAAGTAAGACATTGAGGCTAGTGTTTCCAGAGTGGGGGCAAAGAAACAATGAAAGGTTGGGGCTAGCACAATGGCTCAACTCACTATTCCTCAACCTCCAAGTATCAGCATACCACACGGGCACCTGGTTGTGTCCCAGCTGCTCCACTTCCCATCCAGCTCCCTGCTTGTGGCCTGGGAAAACTGAAGGATGGTCCAAAGCCTTGGGACCCTGTATCCACATGGGAGACCTGGAAGAGAAGCTCCTGGCTTCTGACTAGCTCAGCTCCGGCTGTTGTGGTCATTTGGTGAGTGAACCAGTGGTTGAAAAATCTTTTTCTCTGTCTCTCCTCTCTAAATCTGCCTTTCCTATGAAAATAAATAACCCAGAGATGAGAATGCTGACCTGATTGTCTACACGGAGCTCGGTGAGTGTGTCATTCTCCCGAACTGCTTTCAGCACAGCCATGAGCCCTATGCTGCTAATGAAGTTGGATTCGATGTTCAGGCTCTGGACGCTACGATTCTCACGCAACATGTCAGCCACCGCCTGGGGAGCAGGGATTTGGGTTAGAATTAACAGTTTCACAGACAACTGAGGAGAGAAAGCACAGGAGCAAGAGAGAAACATGATTGAAACAAGTCCTTGAGGAGCTGCAGGTGGGGTAGGCGAGACAAAGTGGTAGGAAAAACTGGGAGACTGTGCAGTGGAATTCGGCGATGTTAGAAAGGATTGATGCTCATTGGGGAAATGATCTCTGGGTTTCAGACTGGGGAGCCTTAGGACGGCAGATCAGTATCTCCTTAAAGGTGTCCCTAACAAAGCGTGGTGGGGATAGCACCACTTAACACAACCCTATGAGGTGGGGCATGTCAAGGTGTGGCAGAGGGTTGTAGATGTCTTCTAGTCTTACATTGGCAATAGGGTCACCACTCCTTGTGGCCACCAGACTGAAACTCCGGACATAGGTGTTTGTCTTCATTGCCTCACATAACTCACTTAGCATGGGTATTGGGATATCCTATGGAGCAAAAGAGAAGAAGGAAAGTTAAGGGACTCTCGTATGTCAGTAGTTATCCCAGTGTCATGCCTGGGAGGATGGGAGTCAAATACCTGTATGTTGTTGAGATTTACTTCCTCTAACTCCTTGTCATTGCTTCGAACCCTCTTTAAGATCTCCTCGATGTTGGCAGGATTTGGAGGCTCATCAGGTACTGGCTTGTACTTGTCAGGCTGTACCACACCTGGTGGGTGAAGGCAGGGAGGGACCCCAACATGGCCCCAATAAGAGCTGCATTGGCTCTTGGGTACCGTGCTCTAAGTTCTTCCCCAGATTCACCTGTTTGCACCCTTTGTGACCTTTTCTCAGATTCCAAGACTTCCTGCCCAGAGCCCCAGGGGCCATCCTTCTCAATCACTCACTGCTAATGCCTTCAGTGTTGCAGATTTCTCCGCTGCAGATGGCGTCATAGTACTGCTTGTTGCTCATCAGTGTGTACATGCCCAGAATTGCTGGAGAGGGAGAGCAGAGCAGGCACCGAGGTTTAGAAAGGACCAGGTTTAGAAGGGTTTTTAGGTCCCTCCTTCTCCCTTTTGCTGAATCTGCTGCATTTATGAGGCCTGACCATTTCTACTCTCCCAGGGGGGCCCTCAGGGGTCCCTCTGGAAGCTGTCAGAAGCAGCAGATTCTAAACCACTGAGCTAAGGCTAAGGGAAGCTGCCAGAAGATGCAGCATGCAGAGATCCAGTCCCTGAATACGCCACTTTGGTTTTTACAATCCCCCAAAATTGCTCTGTGAGATGTTAGTTTATTGAGCTAAAAGATAAGTCAGCCCCTAAATAAGAAAAACAGAAGCTATGGTCTGAGGCTCTCTTTTGGCTACCTATGTCCTAGGACAGGACCTTCAACAGCAGTCAGACTTCAAGGCAGCAGCCCTCTGACCCTGAGCCTCCAACCCTCCTCAGGTGCCCACAGCTGCCCACCTGCAATGTCACACATTTCAGCATCCGTGGCATTGGCCAGTGCCTCCTCTAGCTCAGGCTCCAGGGTGATCTGCTCCTGTGCCGGGATCTCCCTCTTGGGCTCAATATATGGTTTCCCTGATGAAGAGATAAAGGATGGTCTTCAGTTGGAGGTCATTTCCCCAAAGATGCTGGTCTCCACCTTCCTTTCCTTCTCCAGGAATGCCAGGGGACAGTGTAAGCCTGAGTCCTCAGCAAGCTCAGGACTCAATGGTCCTCTGACTTCTTGCAAGAACTGAAGGGTACAGGCTGGAAAATAAGAGGGAAGCTGGGCAGGGGAGACACAGGATAGTTGTTGGGCTCTAGGAAGTGTGTAGGCATGGAGGCCAGGGTCCTCATACCCTTCTTCTCGCCTGTGTAGGGCACCAAATCTTCACGCTCTTTGACCTCCAGTGCCTGTTGCTCCAGGTACTGTAAAAGGGCATCTCGGTCCAGGGGCCCCGTTGGGCTCTTCTTTGTCTGGTCACGTTGTCTTAGTCCAGCTGGCAGAAGCATGTTCTTAGGGACGAGTTTGGGGAAGCAAGTCAGAACTGCCTTCTGACCTATCTTTCAATTCCCCTGACACTTTTTTGTCCCCCCACGGCCCTCTTGGGAGACTCCAGACCCTATAGGTATCCCTGATCCCAACACCCTTCGCCAAATGCCTGGAAACTGCCCAAGGTGCCCTGGGCCGGAGCCCCTACCTCGGGGTCCATCTCCTGTAGCTCGCAGTCCAGCTGCTCTAGCTCCTCAGGGCTCAGGGTCCTGAGGATCTCATCTTCATCTATATCTCTGTATTTCTCCAGTTCCTTCTGATACGATGACATGGTGGCCCCCACCCCTTCCCCACTGTGTGGCACTCAGACCCTGAGAGACATTGAGAAAAGTGATTGGACAATGGAAAGAGAGACAAGGACACAATAGTGACACAAAAAAGACCAGCCACAGGGCGGAACATTGAACCCAATATTTCAGAAGTCAAACATCTACCTGGGGACAAGAAGATGGGGAAGATTAAGTTGTTTAGAGTTAAGATTAGAGTCTCCTTCTTCTTGCTTCCCCAGCTTGCAGTCACTCTGGACAGGGACCCCAGGCGTCCATGCCGGGTTTGTCTTCCCACTGTGTAAGAGAGAAATCCTGGCAGTACCCCTGCCCTATAACCTCGCCCGTCAGTGCCTCCTCCCCTCGCACAGCTGCTGGAAGTTGTGCCAGAGTACAGCGGGCTCCATGCCCAGTTCCTACGAAAAGGGGGAGAGGGATGGCAAACAGCTTCAGGAAAATCTCTCCTCTCTTCTCCATAACCCAGCCTTTTTTTCTGAACCATTTACAGCAAGCCAGCAAAGTTGAGCAAGGCAGTGTGTGTGTCTGTGTGTGTGTATAAAATTTTGTACCCTACCTTCATGACTGTTCATTATGGAGGATCCAGATTTTACTTTCTGTTTGCTAAGATTCTCACCCTAAGGGAAAGCAAGGATTTCAAGAACCTGGGGGCAGTTCCAGGTTGGGGGAAGATTGTAAGGCCTCAGAAGAAGGCACGCAGTCCCCATGGTGTGTCCCTGACTTTGGACAGGAAGGTGACACCAGACCAATGAGTGAGAAATACCTTCTCAATGGAGTAAAGGTTCTCTAAAAAGAGTCAAATTGCACAATATTTTGCAACATAAAACACACACACACAAGCAGTATATGTATCTATATACACCATGCTGAATACCAAAGACCTGGAAAATGTGAGGTACACTGACAAGGTACATTACCCAGGACAATGGCAGAAACACACACTGAATGACAGCCAGCGACAGATCATGGATTGCTCCCCACTCCTCGCCCATCTTCAGCCAGGCTCTCATCCATTCACCCCTTCTCCGCACCTACCAGTCCCAGCCGTCACCTCCCTTCTTTCTGTCCGTCAGTCTGTCTGCTTCACTGGAGCACTGTCCCGGTGGCAGGAGGAGCCCGGTGCCGGGGGAGAGGGTGGGGGAACAGTGAGCTCAGCATTTTATTATTTTAGCTCTGGCCAGGTGGGGGGTAGTGGGAGATCACATATACACAGCCCCCATACCCTGCCCAGCCCTGAGAGCCTCTAGTGGCCATGAACAGCCATGGCACCTCCTCCCAGGTATTCATTAGCAATGCATCCTGGACACTGGAGTTCTACAAGAAATCAGATAGTTCCAACCTACTATGTGCCTGCTATGGTTCAAGCTGTGAGCATCAGGTGACATAAACTTAAAGATTTTGGTTTCCATGTCTAAGATGGTTAAATTGGGCCCAGCACCACAGCCCAGCTGCTAGAAGTCCTTGCCTGGGATCACAAATGGGCACTGATTTGTATCCCAGCAGCTCCACTTCCCATTCAGCTCCCCGTTTGTGGCCTGGGAAAGCAGGCGAGGATGGCCCAAAGCCTTGGGCCCTGCATCCACATGTGGAAGGCCCGGAAGAGGCTCCTGGCTCCTGGCTTCAGATTGGCTCAATTCTGGCTGTTGTGGCCACTTGGGGAGTGAGTTAGCAGATGCAAGATCTTTCTCTTTGTCTCTCCTCTTTGAATATCTGACTTTCCTAAATAAATAAAATCTTTTTTAAAAAAAGATTGTTACAATCTAGTTGTAGGAATGAGGTATTTTAAAAAGGACAGCTTGTATTCAAGTTATCTAACAAATGCAAAGGATTCGATAAATCCATTCACTACAAATACTTTCTGTTCCCAATTCTAGATAAGACATCAGACAGAAGCAATCTATTTTATTAGGTTAAAAAAAAAACATACAACAAAACCCGTAGCAACTAGGGGAAAAGATGCAGAAAGAGGATTGGGCAAACATCAAAGATGACAAAAGGGGAGTTGCAGAGAGAGGTCAGGGAGAGGCAGGAACTCCAGGTCAGGGCAGAACAGTGGTTTCTAGGATCTAGGTATCGCTTCATTTGATGACAATTTTCTGGCGCAACGCTCGGGGCCCAGAGCCAGGGAGGGGCTCAGCAGGTGGGGGTCCAGGGCCCAGGGCCGAGGCAGTGGGCGGCAGTCCATGCGCAGTGATGTACTTCTTATAGGCCTCACGGATGATCTTGAAGGCCCGAGCAGTGGCGTAGGGTATGTCTGTAACAGGGTCTCGGTACAGAGCTGGACGGTGGGTCACTGGGCAGACCTCCCGAACAGGGATCTTCGGGGGCCGTCCTTGGGGGAACCATTCCTCAAATGTCGCATCATCACTAAAAGTGATGAAGGTACGTGAGCAGCGAGCAGGGGGTCCAGTGCCAGCATGGGGAGTCAGTGTAGAAGCTGTGGGAGCGGGATCAAGTCTGGAGGAAAAAACAGAGACAAACCACGAAGAGCTGAGATCACAGGAAGAAAAATCAACGGACTGAAGAAAAGGGAAGAGGGAGGAAGGGTCATGGAGACATCCTGAGCACTCAACTAAGTGACAGGTGGGGAAAGCAACTAGGCTGCAAGGAAAAACACAGCTGACCCCAGCAGGGAGGACCCCTTTTCTCTTCCCAAGAGTCACTCACCCTTCTACATCGACATTCTCTTCCTTGGGGCCCAGCTCCCCAATAAGTGGTACTGTCACTGAATGATAGGTGATTATGGGCCCAGGGCACTTGCGCTTCTTGTGAACCTGCTTCTTCTTGTCAGCCTCAAGCCTTTCGTATGTCTCTTCAGGATCAAAGGAAATAAGAGGGGAAGGTCAGTTTCCTTTCCTCTCATATTTGATTTCTGTCTTATTATTTCTAAGCTATTTTCCTGACCATCTAGTTATTGCCAATTACGCCAACACCCAGGGAGGCCCCCTAGCAACTTCCATCCTGTAAGTTTTCTGCTTGTCCCCCTTATTTTTTGGAGAGGCATAAAGAAACAGATGGGCATAGACACAGATAAAGCAATGAGACAGAACTCCCACTGGTTCAGTCCTCAAACGCCTTCAAGGGATCTCAGCCAGATGCTCCAGCAGGGAAGTGGGAACATAATCCCATTTGGGTGGCAGGGTCCCAGCTACCTGAGTCATCACCCCTGTCTCCCAAGGTCTGCATCAGCAGCAATCTGGAATCAAACCCACGCACTCTGATGTAGGTCATGGGTGTCTTCCCACTAAGCCGATCATTCGCCTCTGCTTGTACCTCCCAACATTCTCTCCATGCCACATTTCTCAAGCACATGAGTCTGCACCCACTCAGAGAGAACTTGGGACATCAGAATTAGAAGACTTTCTGACAACCAACTGTTTACTTCCCCAGATGCCAGAATCTCCTCTACAACAGCATGGCCACTTACTCCAGCACAACAGAGTTCTTTCCTATTCTGACTTGACATACACTTCCTGGCAAGTTAGGCCTTTTAAGGCCCTAAAGGATACAATCTGGCCTCCACGTGGAAGTTCTGTAAACACGGAACTGAATGTTCTTGTCCCAGATGAGTCTTCCCCAGGCTGACGACAAGACCTACTACACTGAACTGTTCTTCATGCAACATGGTTTGAGGCAGCCCCTCAGTTATGGCTCCCCAGTACAAGTATGCTCTTCTACTATCGTACTTGTCAGCTTATGGAAGAAGTTGCAGAGGGCAGCCTACTTAAGATTTTTTTTTTATTTGTATAGTATCCTAAAGAGAAAAATCTGGATTAATTAACTGACAATCAAAAAGTAGGAAATCATGTTAACTATACAGTTAACATACAACTATATAGTTAACATACAACTCTTAAAAAAGCAAAAAACAAAAAATAAGGAAACTTGGCAACTGCCAGTCTGCATCCCCACTGGGCGACAATTTGCTGAGGTAGTTCACGTTCCTTTCAGGCGCCTCCCCCCGCCCCACATGTGCACTCTGCGTGTTACCTCCCGGGACCAGTGACACCGCTCTGACACTGAGTTACCTCCCGGGACCAGTGACACTGCTCTGACACTGAGTTACCTCCCGGGACCAGCGACACTGCTCTGACACCGAGTTCGAATGTACTCACATACATACCAGGGGCCATGACTCACACAGAGTCATGCAGCACTGCCCACACTGCAGGCACTCAGTAAGTATTTGGCAATAATAAATAAACGAATCAAAATACTTCTGGTCATTTTCTTCTGAATGAACTCCAAACACTGCATCCTTCTTCACTGGGGACACTGTAAACACAGCCCTCTGAAGTCTGATCATAAAAGGTTCCTCTGCGGGGAAAGGCACCTGATAACAGTGGCTCAAGCTGCTGCTTGGGACACCTGTAGCCCCGATCAAACTGCCTCATCTGAGTTCTGGTTATTTCACTTCCAATCCAGCCCCTGCCAATGAACATCACGGGAGACAGCAGCTGATGGCTCCAGCACTTGAGTCCCTGTTACCCAATGGGAGATGTAGATGGATTTCTGGTCTAGCCCTAGCTACTATGGCATCTGGGGAGTGAACCAGTGATGTAGTAACTCACTCTTTCAAATACAATGAAAAAAAAATTATATTTCTTAACATATATATATATGTATATTTTTTTTTCTCAAGAAAAAGGATCCTCTGGAAACTTTTCCACTGATCAAATCTCTTTTGTATCTGACTTTTGTTGCTTTCTCTATCTTGAGCCATCCATCCAACCACTCTTCTATTCTCTGTATTCTTTTGGAACCAAGCAATCTATATTTTAAAACTATCACTAAGTGGGAAATGGTTGGATCCCCAATGAGAACAGATTCTAAGCATTTTAAGTTTGGAAACTTTTGAGATTTTCTTTAGAATATTTATGGAATTCTTGTCAATAAACATGTTCTTAAAAAAAAAAAAAAAAGGTTGGGGCCCGGCGGCACGGCCTAGCGGCTAAAGTCCTCGTCTTGAACGCCCCAAGATCCCATATGGGCACTGGTTCTAATCCCGGCAGCTCCACTTCCCATCCAGCTCCCTGCTTGTGGCCTGGGAAAGCAGTCAAGGACAGCCCAAAGCTTTGGGACCTTGCACCCGCGTGGGAGACCCGGAAGAAGTTCCTGGATCCTGGCTTCGGACCGGTATAGCATCGGCTGTTGCACTCACTTGTGGAGTAAATCATTGGATGGAAGATCTTCCTCTCTGTCTTTCCTCCTCTCTGTATATCTGCCTTTCCAATAAATAAATAAATCTTTTTTAAAAAAAAAAGGTTGGGCCCGGCGCGGTGGCACAAGTGGTTAAGTCCTCGCCTTGCACGCCCGGGATCCCATATGGGCGCCGGTTCTAATCCCGGCAGCCCCGCTTCCCTTCCAGCTCCCTGCCTGTGGCCTGGGAAAGCAGTCGAGGACGGCCCAAAGCTTTGGGAACCTGCACCCGCGTGGGAGACCCTGAAGAGGCTCCTGGCTTCGGATCGGCATAGTATCGGCCCGTTGCGCTCACTTGGGGAGTGAATCATCGGATGGAAGATCTTCCTCTCTGTCTCTCCTCTCTGTATATCCGCCTTTCCAATGAAAAAATAATAAAAATAAATCTTTAAAAAAAAAAAAAAAAAAAAAAAAAAAAAGGTTGGATCCAAGATATCTCAAGCAAATCATCTTTTATGCTACAGGGAAGTCCTATCTGACTTATGCATGTTTACCTATGTAAATAATAACATACACATATATAGTAATATATACAGGGGCATATAAGACTATAAAGCTGTAACATGTGTACAGATGTGTATTTACTCATGCATACTTCGTTTAAAAAAAAAAGCACAGGTTCATGGAAAAACAATATTACATACTGTAGGTGATCCCATCCACCATTTCTTTCAATAAAAGTATGTGCCAGAGAACATTTAAAGGTATGTACTAACTGCCTCCTCAACTTCTCAAGTCCCTGAGACTCATTATTCATAAAGAAATGTTAATTCATGATGTTGCTGTACACAATTATATCCTTAGCAGCACCTACACTGAGGAGATTTTTAGGAAGTTCTTAAAGCAAGTTTTCTTTTGTGATCTGAGCAACTCTACTGATTTTTCCACTCTCCTGTTTCATCATTAAAATATGCATTGACACTCATTTTGCGAACAAAGAATGATTCAAGCTAAAGAATCTGCCTGCAGTCTTCACTTAGATAAAAAGCAAGACAAGGATCTGAATTCACTCTTATTTTATACCAAAGAATCTCAATACGGCTTGTCCCTCACACTGGCCTAGTCCCTGGCCATTTCATTCTCCTGCTCCCCATGTCCCCTGCCTCACACTGCTGCTCCTGCGCCTTGGTCCCTCTACTTCTCTTCAGACTGACCCAGTGACCGTAAGTTGAGCTCTTCTGTGATCTTGGCCTCCCTGAGGAGCTCTTCCTGGGTCAGTGGCCGCTCACAGTGGGGTCCCTTCCGCCGCCGTGACTGGCCTTGTCTCTCCTGGACCCGAAGGAACGTTTGTCGGGTATGCTCAGCTGTAGACTGACGCATGGACTTGCGACCTGGGAAGGAGTCAGACGGGAAGAAATCTTTGAATTCATGTCTACCTCTTTATTGGTTTATCTATTTGAAAATTATATTTGGGAAGAACTTTAAACTTATATAAAAGTGCAAAAATAATACAAAGACCCTGTATTCTTTGTCCCCAACATCAACTCTTAACATTTTGCTTCATTTGCATTTCACTTTTTTTTTGTTACCCTAAATGAGCTGTGAGTTAAGCTGCATATATCATGGCTTTCCTTTCATAGCCGCAATAAAGCTGTCAACGTTAGCAAATGGAACACAGATAAAATAATTAATTATCACAGTCTAGCTTTGTTAACTGACCCAACTGCTCACTCACTGTCAGAGCCATCATCCTGCAGCTCTAGCGGCAGCAGCGCCTTCTCCTCTCGGGCCTTCTGAGAGCTGCTGGCTGGGGTGCTGACCTTCCGAGGCCTCAAGCTCTTGAGAGGCTCCTGCAGATGGAGTGGGACCAGACACCAGAGAACAGAAGAGAGCGGCAGAAAACAGATGAGGGTCTTAGTGAAAAGAAACTGGCATTGCAGCCATGGGACTGAAATGAGGGTATATGGGGTCCCCGACAGAAGGGGGCATAGGAATCAAGGAAGCCAGGAGTCCCCCTGCACCTTATAGGCTTTGGTAACCACTCGGCGCTTCCTTCTGGGCTCTTCCACTTCTCCATCGCTGGATGGTTCATCCCCTTCATCAATGTCAAAGTCGGAATCCACCTCATCCTCTGTGTCTGACTGGTCCCCTTGATATTCATCATCTCCCGACTCCTGAGGACACAGCAGGTGAGCAGGTGAGAGCTTACTGGCACTGGAGTTACCAATGCCCTTCCAGGAGGAACAGAATTCACTCTCCTGATAAGGGCTGTCCCACTCTCCTTTCCTTTCACCTGGTCAAGAAGCCCTACTTGTTGGTCTTTGGCTCTCATGTCACATGGCTCTTCCGTTAACGGAGCGCCCCTTATCTAGGACACTGTGTAAATCCTGGGGGACAAAAGCTTATGGTTTGCTCCCCACCTTGGGTGGGGGTCAGCTGGTGAAGGACAGGACATTATCACAGGAAGGAGCTTTAATACAAGGCCACATATACAGCATTGCATGGCAACTACAGGATATGATAGGAAGGCTTATTGCTACCAGCTGGTACTGGAGAAAGGTCCACACTTTGATCTCTTAGATCAGAGATTGGGAAACGTTTTCCATAAAAGGAAAGACTACAACCAGTAATGGGAGGGGGGTGTGTTGTGGAGAAATGGGCGAAGCCGAAACCTGTAACAAAGGGCATCCTATGTGGGTGTTGGTTCTTTTGTTGGCTATTCCACTTCTGATCCAGCTCTCTGCAAATTATGCACGGGAAGGCATTGGAAGACAGTCCAACTCCTCGGACCCCTGTACCCACATGGGAGACCCAGAAGAAATTCTTGGACCAGCCCAGCTCTGGTCATTGTGAACATCAGGGAAATGAACTAATGGATGGAAGATTTCTTTTCTGTCTTTTCCTCTCTTTTTTGTAACTCTGACTGTTGAAATTAATAAATCTTAAAAGAAAAACAAAACAAACAAAAGTAGTGGGCAGATCTGGGACACAGGTTTTAGCTTGGTGAACCATGCTTTAGAATCCAACAAATGGGGCCAGTGCAGTACTGTAGTGGCCTGAGCCGCTGCCTGTGATGTGCATCCCATATGGATGCCACTTCACATCACACCTATTCCACTTCTGATCCAGCTCCCCACTTACGGCCTGGGAAAGTACCAAAAAAATGGCTCAAGTCTTGGGATCCAGTACCCATGTAGGCGACCCAAACGAAGCTCCTGGCTTCAAGGTGGACCCATTTGAGGATTGAACTAGCAAATAAAAGATCTCTCTCTACACTTCTTTTTCTCTCTGTAAATCTGTGTTTCAAATAAAAATAAATCCTTTTTTTTAATTACTTATTTTTATTGGAAAGGTAGATTTCTACAGAGAGAAGAAAGAAAAGTCTTCTGTCCACTGATTCACTCCCCAAGTGGCTGCAACAGCCGGAACTGAGCTGACCCAAAGCCAGGAGCCAAGGCTTCTGCCAGGTCTCCCATGTGGGTGCAGAGTCGTAAGGCTTTGGGCTGTCTTCTGCTGCTTTCTCAGGTCATAGGCAGGATATGGATGGGAGGTAGAGCAACCAGGACTTGAACCAGCACCTGTATAGGATTCTGGCGCAAGCAAGGTGAGGATTTAGCCACTGGGCTACCACACTGGGTCCTAAAAATACATCTGAAAGAAAAGTCCACAGAATGAAGATTATCTGGGCCATGACTGTCAAACATTTAGACAGTAGAAAGATCACGCACAGATAGCAAAGCAGGAAAAGAGGCCAAGAAGTACAAGTGCACAGAGCATGCCTATGGACAGAACTGCGACTTGGGCAAAGCAGAAAAAGCTGAAAGGTTATTTCTGCTAAGAAGTGTCCTTTCCCACACTGACAACTCTAGAATGGTTCCACTCACTGCTAACACTGGAAAAGACGGCTGCATTTGATATATGGATTTACAACTTCACGCTAATAAATTCATGATTTTTACATTGCAGGCCGGCGATTTTTAATCACTTCATTCTCCTTACTTGTCCCAGCACTGATAATGATTATTGCAGCAAAGTTACTGAGAAAACTAGGTGACAAGGGTAAAAACTGTAAAACTATGTACAATGCATATTCCAAAACGTTATAGACGTGAGTTTCAGGAGCTGAAGTGGAAAATCTGAAGTATGATTTAGACCTAATGTAATACAGGTTAGGGCTAGAGTGGCAGCCACAGTGGAAAGGAAGGAAAAAAATAGTTTAGGGTGCAGGATCAGCTGGGGTGGGTAGCACCTCAAGCTTGTGACTCCCTATCCCCCCAACAACGTAGACTACTACACTAATCCTGGTGCACAGGCTGCCAGAGGAAGCAGCTAACAGACAGCAACACAGTCACTTTATATTAGCTTAGTGACGAATCAAAACTCTTCCAATACATTACGCATTACCATTGTCTTCTAGTCATTAATAAACATGACTAGATGAGAGAATGTTTATATATTACCTACAGGGCGGGGTTATATCTTAAGCCCATTGGTTCCTTTACTTAGATCTGGTTTTAGGATGTAAGGGTAAATTCTCCCTAGAATTTAGTGCTGAATTGGTTTGTGTCTCTTGAGGAACATGTATGTATGTCTGCTACTTAAAAACAAAAAGAGATGTAACTCAGTCTGGCTGCCAAGAAGCTCACAGCTCAACTCAGCATCAACTGCTCTTCCCACGCCAGGCCCGCTCTGGGGCAGTTACTTTGTTACTTTGGCTTTGTCTCTACTTTCACTGCCCCTACTTTTTGTTTCTGTCATAAGCCTCTTTAAATCCGTGTTGGAAACATTCAGAGTACATATTAAATAACGACTCATAAAATGACAGAAATAGGAAAATGGCTTCACAGGAGGGATGAGAAAGTTCTATTTTAAACCAGCCAGTTAGGGATGTGGAAGTAATGACCCAGAAAGACACCCAGCCCTGTGGAGTCTACCTTCTTTCATATCTTGAACTCTCCAGCCATCTGGAACCGCCCCCTTCAAACCACCCCTCTTACTACAGGGTAATCTTAACGAAGTACAAATCTAATTCCAGAAATGCAATGTCTCCTTCTTGCCAGCCCTACCAGTCTTTATTCCTCCAAGAAAAGGAGATTACACCTGCAGATCGCAGTCCAGGATCTCCAACCCCTTCACGGGCGTTCTTCACCCTGTCAAGCCCTAAGTTGCAGACTTGTTTTGTTTAAACATTCCCCCCACCCAGAGATCTTCATCCTGACCATCAACCTTGGGTCCTACAGTTTGCACAAGCTTATCCTACTGGATGTTTGACTGATGGTGAACCGGGTCTGTCCTCGCGTCGGAATCGGGGGTACACACAGAAAACGTTTTTCAGACAGTCCCGCTGAGCTGATCACCATCCACATCCTCGGCGCACTCCGCCTACGCAATGTGTATGGAAAGGGATGGCTTCAGTTAATAAATATTTAGAATGTGCAGGCCCAATGCGGACGCCGCACGCAGCACCACAGGGATCATGCTGAAGTAAGAGCTGCTGTAACTTCACGGAGCTTAGGGATCTAACAGCAAATGACAAACCAGTCCACAAGCCAAGCCTCGCGCTGTGAAGGCACGAATGCTCCAAGGAGAAATGTTTCCAGCCAAACACTAACACCGAAGCCCCGAAGTTGAAAAGGAGCGGGCGACTTCCTTCGACACCCGGCAGGTGAGCGTCAGGAGAGCCACACTCCGGGGGCGCCCCGACCTGGGACCCCCTCCCGCCGCCCCTCGAGGCCGCCCCTTCCGGGACCGCAGGTCCCCCCTCTCCCTCCGGAGACTCCCCGCCCCCTTCTTTGTCCAGGGGCTTTCCTTCTCTCCGCTTCCCCCACCCCCTCACTTCCTGGGCCCCGACTCTTGCCTCGGTGAAACCCCCATAAGTCGTCTGATAGAATTCATCTTCCTCCTCCGCCTCCAGGAGCCCAGAAAGCCGGTTCCCGGCGGTCTTCCGGGGGGCCCGGCCCCCGGCCAAACTCATGTCGCCCACGGAGCCTGCGCCGCCGCCTCTCCCCCAGCGCCGTGCTCGGCTCGGAGCTCGGCACTCGACGCCACTGCCTGCGGAGCGGAGGCCGCCGCGGGTGGGAGGGAGCCGTCGGCAGGCAGAAGCAGCGGAACGTCGAGAGGTTCGCGGCCCCGCCCCCTGAGGCTTCTTGGGTATTCAGCCCCGCCCACTCCTGCCTTGAGCCCCCAAACCACCTGCCAATGAGTCCTCCCCTGATGGTGACACTAGGATTAACTACAGAATGTGGCAGTCAACAGATTTTTTTAATGTTTTTTTAAAAGATTTATTTTTATTATTATTATTTTTTCATTGGAAAGGCAGATATACAGAGAGGAGAGACAGAGGAAGATCTTCTGTCCGATGATTCACTCCCCAAGTGAGCACAACGGCCGATGCTATGCCGATCCGAAGCCAGGAGCCTCTTCCGGGTCTCCCACATGGGTGCAGGGTCCCAAAGCTTTGGGCCATCCTCGACTGCTTTCCCGGGCCACAGGCAGGGAGCTGGAAGGGAAGTGGGGCTGCCGGGATAGAACCGGCGCCCATATGGGATCCCGGGCGTGCAAGGCGAGGACCTTAACCACTGCACCGTGCCGGGCCCTAAAAAAGTTTTTTAAGGTTTATTTATTTGAAAGAATTACTGAGAGAAAGAGGCAGAGAAAAGAGAGAAAGAGACCTTCCGTCCGTGGGTGCACTCCCCAGATGGCCATTATGTGGGGTGGAGCTGGGGTTGGGGTTGGACCAGGCTGACTCCAGGAGCCTGAAACACCATCGTGGGTGGCAGGGGCCTAAGCACTCTGGGTGCTCCTCTGCTGCTTTCCCCAAAGGCGCAGGCAGGGAGCTGGATGACAAGGGCAGCAACTGGGACATGAGCCGGTCTTCAGATGGCGTGCCAGCATTGTAGGTGGTGGCTTAACCCCACAGACCTCAGTGCTGACACCAACAAATATTCTTTCAGAAGTCAGTGTCCTATGTTCCAGTCTGTTTTTCATTTTGATGCCAACAGAAACCTTTCAACAAATGCGGACTACTAACTTTCCTCTCAAAAACTTTTCATGGAGGCCTGCTTGGAGGGCCACTGCATTGACCCTTCCCTGGAATGTCAGCATTTCCTATGGGCCATGGTTTCAAGCCCTGCTGTTTCACTTCCGACCCAACTGCCAGGTAATATGGCTGAAAAGCAGCAGATTGCCCAAATGCTTAGGCCCTGCCACCCACATGGGAGAGCAGGATGGAATTCCTAGCTCCTGGTGTGGGCTTGGCCCTGCCCTAGCTGTTGCATCTGTTTGTGGAATGGATGGAAAAGCTGTCTTTTTTTTTTTTCCCCTTCCTCTTTCTATGTAACTCTACCTTTATATAAATATATCATCTTAAAATCTTTAAGGGCCTAGCACATTAGCCTAGTGACTAAAGTGCTTGCCTTGCACGTGCCGGGATCCCATATGGGCGCCAGTTCCCAGCTGCGCCACTTCCCATCCAGCTCCCTGCCTGTGGCCTGGGAAAGCAGTCAAGTACAGCCCAAAGCCTTTGGACCCTGCCACCTGTGTTGCAGGCCTAGAAGAGACTCCTGGCTCCTGGCTTTAGATCAACTCAGCTCCAGCCGTTGCAGCTGCTTAGGGAATGAACCAGTGGATGGAGGATCCTCCTCTCTGTATCTCCTTCTTTCTGTATATCTGACTTTTTAAAATAAGTAAATCTTAAAAAAAAGAAGGATGCAGTTTGAGTCTGAGCAGTTAAAGCTCTAGCTGCATAGCCTTGAGTGAGTTACTTTATATTCCTGGATGTCTTTCCATCTGTAAAATTAGGGCCAACACTGTGGTGTACAGGAAGAAGCTTCCACATATGAGGTCCTATATGGATCATGGTTGGAGTCTTGGCTGCTTCACTTCCCATCCAGCTCCCTGCTTGTGATCTGGGAAAGCAGTAGAGGATGGCCAAAAGCCTTAGGACCCTGTACCTGCTTAGGAGACCCAGACAAAGCTCTTGGCTCCTGGCTTTGGATTGGCTCAGCTCCAGCCATTTTGGCCCCTTGGGTAGTGTACCTGAGGATGGAAGATATTTCTATCGTTCTCTCTGTAAATCGCCTTTGCAGTAAAAATAATAAAACAGATCTCTTTTTTAAAGATTTATTTTTATTTTTATTACAAAGTCAGATACACAGAGAGGAGGAGAGACAGAGAGGAAGATCTTCTGTCCGATGATTCACTCCCCAGGTGAGCACAACAACCAGTGCTGTGCCAATCTGAAGCCAGGAGCCTGGAACTTCCTCCAGGTCTCCCACGTGGGTGCAGGGTCCCAATGCTTTGGGCCGTCCTCCACTGCTTTCCCAGGTCACAAGCAGGGAGCTGGCTGGGAAGTGGAGCCACTGGCTTTAGAACTGGTGCCTATATGGGATCCTGGGGCGTTCAAGGCAAGGACTTCTAGCTGCTAGGCCACCATGCAGGGCCAAAAATGGATCTTTGGATCTTTAAAACAAACAAACAAACAAAAAAACAACAACAACAAAACAACCATCATTGGGAGGTGGTAACTGCTGTTAGCCTGGCATCCATAATCCTGGATAATTAGCCTCTCCTGTCCTTCTAGTCACACCTCTTGCTACATTGTCCTATTCCAACATCACTCCTCTAAGATACCCAAGTCCATCATGCCTTTGTGCCTGTTCTTCTCCTTAGGAGCCCTTTCATTGGTACATGGAAAAAAATTCTAATTTTATAGGGTGGTGAAGCTTTCCTGTGTATTATCATCTCTCTTTCCAGGCACAGTTCCCACAACCACTGAGATCATGATTCTTTGGGATAATGCCAATCTCAAATAAGTCTGTAGTACTGTTAAAACTTGGTGTCATCTGTTTACTTTTTTTTTTTTTAGCTTAAAAATGTAATTCTTGGGCCCAGCAAGGTTACCTAGTGGCTGAAATCCTCACCTTGCATTCACCAGAATCCCATGTGGGTGCCAGTTCTTGTCCCAGCAGCCCCATTTCCCTTCCAGGTCCCTGCTTCTGGCCTGGGAAAGCAGTCAAGGATGGCCCAAAGCCTTGGGATCCTGCACCCACAAGGGAGACCTGGAAGGCGTTCCTGTCTCCTGGCTTCAGATCAGCTCAGCTCTGATCTGCGGCCACTTGGGGAGTAAATCAGAATGGCCTAGTGGCTAAATCCTCACCTTACATACACCAGGAATTCATATGGTTGCTGGTTCATGTTCCAGTACCCTATTTTCCATCCAGGTCCTTGCTTGTCATCTGGGAAAACATTGGAGGATGGTGCAAAGCCTTGGGACCCTGCACCCATGCAGGAAGCCCAGGGCGAATCTCCTGGCTCCTGGCTTCAGATCAGCTTTGCTCCTGCCGTTGTAGCCACTTGGGAAGTCAACCAACAGACAGAAGATCATTCTCTCTGTACACCTGCCTTTCCAAAAAAAAAAAAAAAAAAAAAAAGAAAGAAAAGAAATATTCAAAAAAGGGGAATTATTCTAAAACTTAAAGGATGCACTCACATGAACTTACATCATCTGTATGTGTGGCCCTATTATTGGCACAAGGATTTTCCCTGTTTCCTTAAGTACATATTCGGTAAGCTCCCTTTTCCGTTTCCTTGGAGGCTCTAAGCTAACAGGTCGTGTCCTGCCCTGCTTCCACGCCCTGCCACGTCACCCCAGTTTGGCTATGCCAGGAATGTTCCTAGGGAAGAGTAGCTGTATGACTCAGAAGGCACCCTAGGGATTACATGGAGGTAGAGACAAAGTTTAGGGGGAAAAAATGGGAGACATTCGCTTCTTAAAATACCTATAATTTTACTTTTGCCTGCATCCATTCAAATATTTAGGAGATAGGCTGTGCCAGGCACTATTTTACAAGCTTGAGATATAAAAATGGCTACGATATGATCTTTGCCCTGAAGAGATCAGCTTATGAGGAAGATAAACAGGTAAACAGACTGACATAATACAAGACTGTATGTATCAAAGTAGTTATTTTATGGTGCACAAGAGATAAACAACGATCTATAAGAAGCTACAAGAAAACAGGGATTTCTTATTTGAGTAGGGCTGACATCAGATTCACAGATCAGCCCCTAGGGAGAAAAGATCCCTGTTGGATAACCCTTGTCATTCAGGAATTTATTGGTTATTCCCGCTGTTGAAATCAGAGATAGCCTTGTCTCTACATTAGCTAGTTTCTATGGTAACTCAGGGAATAACAGCAAGCCCAGTGCCTTTTTTGGGAATAAAAGTAATGTATTACAAAATTTTGATTTCCTGAAGGCCAATGAGCCAAATCCTCTGTCTTACACCCCCTGGTTCCTGCTTTTTAGTTGGGTGGGAGATACAGGAATAAGGCCATCATAAATTACGTCAATATGACACTGCTAGAGAATTACAAATGACAACCCAATCTCTCCTGTGGCTATCTTGGCATGTGAAGGAAACCCAACTGGCCAGCAGGTGGCAATAGGGAGAGGCTGAGATCTCTGCGGAGGACATTCTACACACACTGGAGGTCCTGGGTTTCCTTTGGTGGGCCTGTTGACATCTCACTTCCGGATGTCAACAAAACCGAGGATTTTCCCATTCTCTTCATATTTGTTCATTCCACGTATAAAGACTGGGGCATCATATGTGCACAAGAGGAGTGGAAGATAGCAAGGGTGAACCAAACCCAGGCCTCACCCTCCAGAAGCCGACGGTTTATTCAGGCAAGCCTTCAGGCTTGCCCACTATGTGCCCAATCTGCAGAGTGGGAGGGCCATGTTTCCACGTGCTTTCATGCCCTTTGCAGTATACACCGTCGATGACAGAGAAGGGCAGCGAAGGCTGTCGTCTAGTTACCTTCCATGGCTCCTTTTGGCTCCTTTAGATCTAGTGATCGAGCTGTTAAATATTTACTCAGTCCTGTCACTGTGTCCAGCCTTGACTGAGGCAAGGAAAACATCTATTTTCAACGTCCTCCGAAGGAAGACAAGGCAGGCGCACACGCTGAACAGTCAACAAGGTCGTAAAAACGGACAACGGCAGTTTTTATCGGCATGTGACGTTTTGCGACATTCGACTTGAAATTGGCGCGGAGT